ATTGTACCTGCTGCAAGAGCAGCCTCCAGCCTTTCAAATTCCTTCCTAGGGTGCTAAAACACTGGCACAGCTGTGGCTGCCCTGGATCTCTGGAAGTTTCCAAGGCCAGGCTGGATGTGGCTTGGAGCAGTGAAAGGTGTCCCTGTCCATGGCAGGGGCTGGAATGGGATGGACTTTAAGGTCCCTTTTAACCCAAACCATTCTGTGATCCATGATTCTAGGATGGAACAGGGATGCTGACACAGGAGGCAGCTCTTTTCTGGAAAAGTCCTGTTGGATTTCTCTTTCCCAGCACCATAATGAGGGCAGGGGGAGCTCACTGGGAAGCTCCAGCTTTCTCTGGCTACTCCAGAACCATCGAAGTCGCCGTAGGGGTTTATCCCTGGCAGTGTTGATGGGATATTGCTGGAAACTCCGCTTGAGGGCAGCCTGGCCACAGCCTCTGCTCTGCCTCCCGTGGGAGCAGCCCTGGAGCACACGGGGCTGGCTCGGAGCTGCTCTATTCCAGCCTCACCAAATAAACCTTCTCCCCAGTCAGCTGCAAATGTCATTCATGGAGCCTTGGCCTGGCTCTGGACCCGCTCTGGAAGGGCTGGCTGGCTTTTGTCACGCTCCAGGTTCTGTTTCTGTGGGCTCTTTGCCCCTGCAAACCTTGGGAGTCACCTCAGGAACAATAGGGGAGGTTCTGTCCTGATCTTTGCTGATCTCCAGTGCTGGCACAGGAGGGGTTGCTGCTGTTGGGGGTGATTGTTTGAGGGGGGGTGGTGGCTTTAGGGGCAGTGGTGGCATTTGGGGGATGGTGAATGTTTGGGGGAGTTTGGGGGGGTGTGGTGGCTCTCAGGAGCTGGTCACTGTTTTGGGGCTGGTCACTGTTTGGGGGGTGGTTGCTGGTTTTTGGGGGCAGTTGCTGCTGTTGGGGTGGTTCTGGCTGGTTTTTAGCTCCAGCCCCACCAAAGCCCCCTTGAGCCCCTCCAACCATGGGGTTTCACAGGCAGAGCCAGGCCTAGGGCTTGTATGAGGTTACAACAGGGAGTATCTGCAGGAGTGGGACCGGCTGCTCGGATCCATGGGTGGGTTTAGAGCCAACAGCAAAGAAAGCAGAGCCCGAGCTCCTCTTTTTTTAAGCCCCTGTGTCTCCCTCACGCTGCTGATCAGGATCCAGGGCAGGGCCAGACACAGAGCTCTGGGCTTGACAGCTCTCTGGGAAACCTGTGGGAAGCTGAAAAGCCCTCCAAGAACACCCAGTCCAACCATTCCCCAGCACTGCCAAGGCCACCCCAACCCATGTCCCCAAGCGCCACATCCACACGGCTTTAAATCCCAGCAGGATTTAAAGCACTCCATCCCTGCCCTGGGCCCTGTGCCAGGGCAGGACAGCCCTGTCCTTGGAGGAATTTTCCCTAATATCCAACCTGACCCTCCCCTGGCACAGCTTGACCCTCCCTGTCCCGTGTTCCCCGGGAGCTGAGCCTGACCCCCCTGTTCCACCTCCTGTCCGGGGTT